CATTTGACCTTAGAACTGAAGAAGCTTCTCGGATGAGAGGTGAAACGTCTTCAAGTAACTTAAAGAAGTCCAGACGCTTTTCTTTGCAAGCTCCTTTGGCTGTGCTCCATCAAAGTAAGTCAGTGCACCACTGACCAACAGTGATTTATTTCCCAACTTCATCCTCGATGGAAGGAAATAACAACTGACTCATCACAGACATGAAGGCTGTCCGGCTGGAAGCAGAGGGAGCCTGGACTTTTAGTCCCAGGGACAAATATCTGTGAACTTTCCAACTAAATAAAAGCTCATCCACCCCTTTTAGTCTTAGCTAATTTTGTGGTCAGATTTACGAAACAGTGACGGTGCAACCGAAGTAGATCTTTCCACCAAATGCTTTTCTCTACATAATAACAAATGCTGGATTTTGCTGTCAGATTTTTCCTGTGCACGGTGAAGAAAACTGGCTCAGCGTCTGCAGTTATGTTATGCAGAGCCATTCTGTTGTGGTGAAGGAGAAGGCAAAGCTGTTGATTTACTGATCTGTGTGTGCTTTCACCCTCATCTATGGCCAGAGGCTGTATAGACTTAAAGAATGAGATTATGGGTATAAGGAGTGGAAATGGGCCTCCTTTGATGGGATGTCTGGCCTCAGTCTTGGAGACGGAGTGAGGAAGTGGGTCATTAGGCAGCACGTCTGACTGTTTGCTCCGCCACAGTTAAAGGCATCTGACTAGCAGGCACATGTCCAGTGTGTGGGCACAGGGTGGGCCCGCCTCATTAATGAATCAATAATTACGATCAAGTAATGTAATGCAGCTGATTCTGAAAGGGCCAATCTAAATAATGACTTCTATGATTGGGCTTCTGCTTCCATGTATGGGAGTCTGATAACACATATGTGACACAGAGGAATTTAATTGGTCTAAGGGTAGATGATGAATGACTGAGAAAGAGTGGGATCCTCCTGCTGCTCGATGTGTAGAGGAGGAACGCTCAGGAGTGCACTCCTGTGGTAACGTCTGCTACGAAGACCGTAATCGAGGAACTGAAAGGTCAGTGTTATAGGCTAATGTGACTAACATTAAGTGGCTCTTGTCTATCTGCTTTGTGGAAAACAAACAGATATGCAATACATTTAAAGAAAAGAGAGTGAAAGGCTAACAAGGCCAGTTAAACTGGAAAATCTGTGCAATCAAAATAGAAAAGTGGGAAAAGTACCATGGAAACAGATGCACACAGACTGCGATCTGCTTCTCAAGCTTCCACATCGTTGGGAAGACAAACAACGGCACACAGGTACACAAGAGGAGCAGCGAAAAGAGGAAAAACATGCAGCTTACACACTAAACAAACACATTTATGATATTTCCATAACGCTCCATTTTATTTGTTTCAACCCACGGCGCACGCGGCTTCTGATGTTTTCATAACTGCAGTGCATTCATTTGCATCTTCGTTGGACATTTATCTGAGAGTCGGGGTTGAAATTGGATGGAAATGTAGCTACTGACATTTGACAGCTATCACTTTTGCATTAAAGCCAAGCAATGAATCACCTTGGAGCCTGAATGAGAGATGAGCACATCCATTATGTGCTGATTGTGTTCAGCTAACAGAGTGTCACAGAGACACGTTAAATCCTGAGCTGATACTAAAGTCCTGATATTATTATTTTTT